AGGCAAGAGTCGGAAAAAAGAAAAATTGTGAATGAAACTTATTGAGGAAGGAAGGCTTTTGATTGATTGGTAGATATGAATTGCATGAACCTCAAAGGAGGAGAGTAATGGAGGTAGCTGGAAAACCTGGGAGTGGCAATGAGGAGCATGGAACATTCCAACCTTCCCTCCCTCTGACCCCCACCCTCAACCAGTGAGCAAAGGTGCAGCCAGTAGTGGAAATGGTGGCCAAGTAGGTGGTGTCATCATGGGGGAGTCAGGTTTCAATAACTGCTAGAAGACAGAGTGGGAGAGGAAAAATTTTAAGATGAAGAGAAGTTTGTTATCTATGGAACAGGCATTCTAGAAGGCACAGGGGAAGGGGTGAGTGGCATTTGATTGCAACTTTGGGGTAAAAGGGTTGAGGAAAATGGGAATAAGGAATGAGGTGGTGAAGGGTGGGGAATGGGGTTTGGGCACTGATGTAGAACTATTGGGATGTGTAGAGTCTGACTAGGTGTAAGAATGTTGATCATTGAATGGAAGGTGCCAGTCTTCTTCTCAGAGGAGGTGGAAGAAAAGTGCAGCACAAGATGGAAAGCACACAGTCAGGTGGTCATACAGGAGATGCCATTTCACTACTTCTCTTCCCTCCAAAGTTAGCCAGAAAGTGGTGCAGCAGGAGACGGAAGTCCTTGCTCCCCACCAGCTTGCCTCTTCCTCTATCCTCAAGGGCCTGGTACAGATAGAAATCCCTCTGCTTGATTCTAGCCCCTTCAGGGGACATGCACACAAGAGATGGAAGGCCTGGGCTCAAAGGAAGGCCTTGTTCCTCTTCTTACCCATGACTGGACATGAGGCAGGTACAGCAGGAAGTGAAAGCCTTCTGGTGCAGAGGGAAGTCACTTTAGGGCAGAAGGAAATTGCCCATCTAAGCCCCTTGCTATCTTCCCTAGAGGACATGCATAGCAGCATCCCTCCCATCTTGAACAATTTAAATGTGCTGGGAGTTTTTTCCCTTCATTCAGTATCACTCCTTCTTCTTTTAAAAATAGTTTTTTTGTTTATTTGTTTTTATATCACATACACTTCCCAAAGCATCTCTTCTCTGAGAGGGGATACATCTCCTAAAGTACAGATTTTTTTTTAGTGGAAAAAGGAAAAAAAGTTCTGCAAAACTAACCAATGTATCAGACAAGATTGATGTTGTATGCAGTGTTCCACACTTACTGTCCCCTACTTCTGCAAAGAAGCAGAGGGAGATACTTTCTCATATCCCTTCTTTGGTGCCAAGCTTGGGCCACTCCATCTTGTTAATTTTATTTCATATTGCTTTCTTACATAGAGAAACTAAACTGCTCTTTGCCTGAAATATCCTCTCTTCCCCTCCTTCCCTGCTGACTTCCTAGCCATCTCTTAAAGCCCACTTCATATGCATTTTCCATGATAATTTTCCCTGATTCCCTTTCAACCAGCAATGTGGTTTTTCAACTCTCTAATAGTTAATTGCTTGTGTTTTTCTATCTTATTCCCCCTTCCTTCTATCACCACTTCTCCTCTCCCACTGCCCTAGATTGTAAACTGGAGATTGTGTCTTATTGAAACTTTTTATTTTCCAGGCATCTAGGAGAATATAGAACATTGGACTGGGAGTCAGGAAGACCTGAGTTTGAATAGGAACTCAGACACCTACTGGCTGTGTGACCTTGGGCAAGTCACTTAACCTAAGGCTGCCTTAGTTTCCTCAGCCATAAAATGGGGATAATAATAGTACCTAACTCCCAGTGTTGTTGTGAAGATCAAGGGAGATAATATTTGTAAAATGTTTAATAAATGGGTGCTTAATAAATGCTTCTTCCCATCCTCCTCAAGATCTACACCTACAATAGATGTGTGTTTTATTTAAATTTGACACTATTAAGTTTGGCATGCCAAACTCAGTGCAGCACCTGTATTTATTAGAGAAAAAGTATTACTTGTTTAATCCTGTATCTCAGGTGTCATCAGTATGGGCCAGGCTAGCTTTTGAGATTCAAATATGTTTATGAAACAAGTGCTCCTCCAAATTCCAGTATGCCTAGGATGGTACCCCTACCAGAGATACCCAGTCAGAACTGGAGGAATAATGGGGCTCTTCCCCATTTGCAAACTTGTGTTTGCACTTACGTGCACTTACATGGTCTGATCATCAGACCAGCACGCCCTTTTAAACCACATATCTAAAAAAAAATACTTAAGCTCTGCTTTTTTTTAAGAGTTTAGTGCATATAGTTAAGAGCACTTCCATGTTGGACAGTAAATAATTGACTTTTTCTTTTATTGTTCCAGAATAGATACCAGTTTGCATTTTTTCAAGAAGCTATTGGCATTGGGGACAGCTAGGTGGCGCAGTGGATAGAGCACCGGCCCTGGAGTCAGGAGCACCTGAGTTCAAATCTGGCCTCAGACACATAACACTTCCTAGCTGTGTGACTCGGGGCAAGTCACTTACCCCCAATTGCCTCAATAAAAAAATAAAAAACAAACAAACAAAAAACCAAACAAAAAACCAAACAAAAAAAGAAGCTATTGGCATGACTTCAGAAACATGGAGCAGAATAAAAGGTAACATGGAAGGAATTGAATTGAATTGATTTTTACTCTTGCTGAAAGGCTTCCCAGATACTGGTTCATTGGGCAATAGGGGCTATAAATTCAGGTCTTGAATAAAGTTGAAGCTTTCTATGATGCTTATAAATCTCGTCCCCTTCAGATTCTATAGTTCTTAATGTGAGATATCCAAGTGCTCTCTCTTCTTCTTCTCTCTCTGTCTCTCTGTCTCTCTCCACACACATGTATATATGTATGTATGTATGTATATATAGAGAGAAGCACACACATATATGTATGTATGTATATGTATGTATGTATATGTATATATATATAGAGAGAGAGAGAGAGAGAGAGAACTAAGTGTATCTCAATATAATTGGTTTCCTTTGTAATCCTATGTATTTTATTTTATTGCTTTAAAAGCATTATTTGGTGAATGGCTCCATAGGCTTTACCAGAGTGCCAAAAGGGTCTATGACAAAAAACACTTATGGAACTCCCCCATCCCCATAGTATTACAGAATTCTGAAAAATGATTCTTAAGAAAAAATTTCATTTTCTTTAGGTATTTGATCAAAAGTCACACAAACTCAGCCTTTAATAAAGGTGACTCAACATCTAATCAGATTAGAGGCTTTATGACATCCAGGGGCAAATGTAAGAATTTTTTAGAAAATTATTTTATAGGGTTTACAGATTTGTAATCTGGCTTTGTCCAATTCTCAGACCTCTACTCCATAAATAATTTGGGTCACTGCTTTACTGAGGAAGAGCTTTAGCCCAGTATCAATTAAATAGTCACTTTTTACATGATTTCAGTGTGTAGCCATCATGGTTTGAAGAGCAATGTCTTCCACTGTCTTTCCATGTCATTTCCAAGAAGTGTTTCTATGAAATAGAAACCTAACTCTTTAAATACTCAGTCCTGGTTGATCTATAGAATATTATAGCCCATTGAAAGCTGTGTTTTTCCTCTCCTCACTCTGTGTTATCCCTTTTAAAAATGATTAATATCAAAAGATTCATCTTCGCAGCAGTCATGGATTGGGTTTAGTATCTACATGTGTCAAAAACTTCTAGGACTTTTTCCAGCATACGAAAGAGAAGGGATTTTCTAAGAAGTAATTAAAGGAAAAACTCTAGACCAGATAGCTTTTAATCATGTCATTAGGGTAAAGTTTGAAGAGAAGTAGGGATAAAAGAGACCTTTGTTTTGCCCATTGGTCATTACAGATTACTTCTGAAAAGGAACAAGAAATCCCTACTTTTCTTCTGATGAATGGTTCAATTCTATTTTTGCTAGTCTTTGCTAAATCTCTAACAGCATTTAGCCAGGGATTTCTAGGCAAAGTTCTGTTGTTTTTTTTTGTCATTTAAAACTTTAAAATGCTATTATGAAGAATAGTTTTAAATAATGTTAGAGTTATTTTGATGACTATTTGATATAGGCCATATCTTCTTTATGAAACTGAGAATTCCTCATTAGCCTCTTGAATGCTGAATTTGCAAACCTAAATATAAAGCAGCAAGGGCTATCACATCTTCCAAGGTGTCATTTGGCATGGATGATAAAGGGGACCTTGTTTGCCTCATCACTGCTTTTGACCTGTAATCTGACATCTTGATTCTGCTGGTGAGTATTTATGGTCAGGTCAATGCCAGATGGCACCATGATAAGCTAACGTGGGAGAAATATCTTGGGACTGATAGAGCATGGCAACATCCTTATAATCACACAATCACAAAAGATGAGAGAAAAAAAGGGATCTTAGAGATTATCTAGTCAAACCTCCTAATTTTACGGATAAAGAAATTTAGGTCCAAAAAGGGGAAGTGACTTAACCAAAGTTACTTAAAACTCAGGTTTTAAATGGCATTTCGAAATGGAGCCCAAACTTTCTGGCTCAAAGCTTCTGGTCATTTCTGCTATTCAGTGATGTCTCCTTGGCCAATCACTTTCTCTACCTATGTTCAGAGCAAAGAGGTATGTTCTTCTCATCGTGTAAAATAAATCAACCTTATTATTTTTCCCTCTTTCTTTCCTTCCTTTCTTTTCTTTTCTTCCTTCCTTCCTTCCTTCTTTTCTTTCTTCCTTTCTTGCTTCTTTCTTTCTTGCTTGCTTCTCTTTCTTTCTTTCTTTCTTT